GCGCGTGAAGCCCGGGCGCCCCGGGCTCGGGGCGGAGCGGCGGCCCTGGGAAGTTGGGGCGCTCATCGGCTCCCCGCACCCCACGCAGCGGTCCCCATTTCACAGGATAGGAGACGGAGCCTTCCCCCCCCCCACCTCCCGCGCCATCTGCCGAAGTTCTGGCCGCTTTTAGAGGGGGTCGAAGTCTCTAAGCCGGGTGCGATGGCTCCGGAGCGGGGTCTTTGCGGGCTGATCGCCAGCCGCTGAGCCTTCACGGGGGTTGTGTTTCCCACCGGGGCCGCCTTTACCGACCTCTCGATTGTGGGCGCTGTTTGCCCGGTGTGGATGACCCGGGGCCGGGGCGTGGGAATCCTGTGGCTGCCCGCCAGGTGCAAGGCGCACGGGGGTCCCTGCGCCCCCAGACCCCCGATCGGGCGGCGCCGGAGAGAAGGTGGAGGGCCCCGCGGGCAGGCGCTGGGCACAAAGCGTTCACATCACCTCGGCCCTGGGCCTGCCAAGTTCACCGCGCCTGGCGCCCAGACCTAGAGAACCAGGCCCAAGGGCGGGGCCGGGCGCGCTGCCGCCCAGGGCTGCAGGGACTCGAACTCCCCAGAGTATGGAAGGGAGGCCTGGAGAAACACACGGACCGGCTCTCCGGCCTCCCTGTGACCCCGCCCCCCCAAAGGTGAGTCACTAAGATTTGGGGCCGGTGACATTGGGTGACGTACATGGAGTGGTAGAGGCTGAATGTTGGGTTTGGGTCCTGGCACGAAGATTTTGCTAATGTTGTTTTGAGACAGTGTTTCACTCACTGTGTAGCCCAAGCTGGCTTACAACTCCTGATCTTCCTGTCTCAGCCTCCCGATCATTGACAGGTGCACACCACTGTACTAGGCTCACAAAGATATTTTTTTAATCTACTTTAAATTAAAAAAAACCTCAACCTTCACCTGTGTGTGTGTGTGTGTGTGTGTGTGTGTGTGTGTGTGCATATATGTATCCTGGAAGTTAGGTCCTAATGTGCACTTGTTAGATGAGGGAAACAGGGGTCTGGAACAGAGAGCTATGCACTGAGAAGGGAGAAGCCAGGAGAGAAGGGAAGGGAGGGAATGGGAGTACAGAAACAGGGAAGTTTTAGGAGGATGCTGGGGCAGAGGAAAGAGTGGTTGGGGGGCAGGGCTCCTTGGCTGTTACTGCATGGCCCTCAGCCTTTGCCATCATCTGCTCCCTTTAAGAATTCTTTTTTTTTTAATTTTGCAAAAAAACTAACTCCATCCATTTTCTTCTGTGTTCCAATACCTCTGTGCTTCCAACTCAATAGGCATTTTCCTCTCAGGCTATGTCCTTCTCCCTCAGTATCGTGGCAGTACCTATGGAAAGCCTGGGACTTGGTCAAAACTCATAGATAGGGAAGGAAGACAGAAAGAAAGGGAGGTACCTGAAAGGGGAACCTTGTGCTGTCCTGTAAGGCTCATCTGAGCTCTTTCTCAGGAGGCATTTTCCTCCTCAACTCTTTCTTCTGGGATGGAATTTGAAAAAATAAAAAATAAAAGAAGTCACAGCCCGGGCTGGAAGGTGGTTCAGTGGTAGGGTGCTTGCCTTGCATGCATGAGGCCCTGGGTTCGATTCCTCGGTACCACATAAGCAGAAAAAGCCAGAAGTGGTGCTGTGGCTCACATGGTAGAGCGCTAGTCTTGAGCTGAAGAGCTGAGGGACAGCACCCAGGCCCAGAGTTCAAGCCCCATGACCAACCAAACAAAAAAAAAAGTCATAGCCCCTTGGTAATATGCAAGAATGACAGCAATGTGAATTAAAGTGAATTCTGCCTCAGGAAGGGAGGGCCAAATAATAAAACAGTCTCAAAATACACGTCTTCACCATCCTTTGAGATATGTACCAACCAAGAAATATCATTTGCCAATGAGCCATAAATATCATCTATCTACTTGCCACAAGATACAAATGAGGGACCCCCTTGTTAAAGGTACTTGGTCCAAATGCTCATGTGGGAGGTCCCAAGTCAAGTCACAGAGGCATGCACTCTCCCTCTCATTTCTACCTCATTCTCTGCTGGACACGAGTTGGCTCCTCCACCTGAATTCCTTTCTTTTCTTCCTATGTTCCAGTTGGAACACTGACTTGTGTTTGTGAATGTACCCATGGCTCCACTCTTCTACCCAGCCGCCAGCCTCTGCAGGCCTAGCCTAGTCTTTCCCTCTTCCTCTGCTTAGAAGCATCCCTATCCCCCCATACCCTCTATAATATACCTGACTTCTTAAGACCTTGGCTTTTCCTTGAATCTAACTTCTGCTCTGAGAAAAATAAGTGTAAATGACAAGGCTTGTCATTCCCACTTATATTTTCAGCTACTTGGCTGGCAGAAATAGGAGGATCGAGGTTTAATTCTATCCTGGAAAAAATGTTATCCAGACCCTATCTCAAATAGGTGTTGCACACTTGTAATCCAGATATGTGGGAGGTGGAAGTGGAAAGCTTGTGGTTCAAAGTGGATCTGAGGGGAGAAAAACATGCAACCTATGTGAAAAATAACTAAAGTGAAAAAGGGCTGGAGGTATGGTTCAAGCCATAGAGCACCTCCCTAAGTGCAAGGCCCTGAGTTCAAACTCCAGAAAGAATGGCCCCACAATGTGTGTACACATAAAATACATGTTCAATCTTTTCTTTAAAAAGTATTTTTCATTGTAGTAAAATATACATATAAAAAACATGCAGTTAGGGTTCACATTGTCCAAAAAGAAATGTACTCCTTACCTGATTTATGTGACTGTAATCCCTTTGTAAAGCACCTTTATAATAACAATAAGAAATTAAAAATGTAACTCAGAGCCAGGCACTGGTGTCTCACACCTGTAATCCTAGCTGCTCAAGAGGCTGAGATCTGAGAACTGAGGTTCAAAACCAGCCAAGGCAGGAAAGTCTGTTGAAACACTTGTCTCCAATAAGCCAGAAAACCGGAAGTGGCGCTGTGGCTCAAGTGGTAGAGCATTCACCTTGAGCTGAGGAGCTGAGGGACAGCACCCAGGCCCAGAGCTCAAGCCCCACGACCAACAAAAAAATTAAAACAAAACAAAACAGCTCCATGACGCTTAGCACATTGCCTTTTTTTTTTGTGGACTGACATCACCATCTTCCTCCAAAATCTGTCTTCAAAATTGAAACTCTACACCTTGAACAAACTCCTGCCATTCCTTCAGACCAAGAAACCACCACTCTATTTCCTGTTTCTATATACTTGACTCCTCCAGAGACCTTGTTTACGTGGACTTACAGTATTTGTCCTTTCTTGATTGGCTTATTTTCCTTGAGATTCATTCATGCTTCAGTATGTGTCAGAATTCCATCTCATCTGTGTGTGTGTGTGTGTGTTGGTATTTGAATTTAGGATCTGGATGTTGTCCCTTAGCCTTTTCACTCAAGGCTAGCACTCTGCCACTTGAGCCACAACTCTACTTCCAAATTTTTGATAGTTAATTGGAGATAAGTGTCTCAAGACTTTCCTATTCCTGGCTTCGAACCCCAATCCTCAGATCTCAGTCTTCTCAGTAGCTCACATTTACAGGCATGAACTCTCAGTGCCTTTCTACAAATAACACTGTACAGTATCCTTCATAGTGTTCATTGTCATGGTGGTGCCACAGAAGCCCTCTAGTGACTGTAAAGGAAGGTCCCATAATGTACATGCCAATCATTTTATGTTTGGTGAGCAGGGATAAAAACTGCCTTTCTGCAAAGGTCTGGGAAGGGTGAGGGAGAGGCAGGAGGCCCAGGCCTGATGCACAGACAGGTGACTGACTACACCCAGGAGAGCCTGAGCATTAGGCATGTTCTACGTACCTCACAGAATTGCCAATAGTGCCCTCTGTAGGTGGAAATCTTAATCTTCAGCCTTAGAGATGAAGACTGGGCTAGTGAAATATTTTTTTAAATTGTTTTTATTGTAGCCAAATATACCTGACATAAAACTTACAACTACTTAGGTATATAGTTCAATGATATTAAGTACATTTATGCCAGGTGCTGGTGGTTCATGTCTGTAATCCTACCTACTTAGAAGGTTGAGATCTGACGATAGTGGTTAGAAGCTAGTCCTAGTAGACATTCCATGAGACTCTTTATCGCCAATTAAACAGCAGAAAGCCAGAAAGAGTTGTGGCTGATGTGGTAAAATGTCAGCCTTTAGTGAAAAAGCTAATCAAGAGCTTAAGGCACTGAGTTCAAATACAATACTGGCACCAAAAACCAACTAACCAACCAGCCAATAAGAAAGGAAGAGCTAAGGTTAAGGCTTAAGTGGTAAAGTACTTATCTAGCAAGTGTGAGTCTCTGTGTTTAATCCCCAGCATTAAAAGAAAATTAAAAAAACACTTAAGGAAAATACAAAATAGGAAAATGATGCCCTTCTTTAAATTATGGATATAGATGTGTAAATAAAACATGAGCTACTGAGTCCAACACTGCACTTAAAAATGAGAATTATAGGGATGATTTAGTGTCTTGTCTTTATGTAACTACATTAATGGATTAAAGAACAAAATCAACTATCTTGAGAATAAGGGCTTTGAACAAAATATTCCTTTATGATTTATTTGGGGGGGTGGGACATAAAAGACACAGAAATATTTTCCTTCTTTTCTGTTTTGTGGAATAACTCAAATCAGGAAATATTATCTTTCTTAAAATAGTGTTAGAATTTACTAAAAATATCTGTATTTTGGGACAGGTTTATTACATGCTGGTATGTCAGAACTCTCTACTGCTTTCTGTACCAATCTTTGGCTTTTTATCCTTTTCCAGAAATTTGTGCACATCTTTTACTTTTGAAAGTTTTGATTGAATAGTTGGCTTATAATTTTTATTAAAATGTTTTTTTATCATTTAAAAATCTTATTTAAATGTTCATTTCTTCATGCTTATTTACCTCTGTGTTTTGGGTAATTTTATATCTTCTTAATTAATCTTGCACCAGATTTGTAATACTTAATCTAAAGAAGTAGAAACAATCAGTCTCCTTGAAGGTTTGTGAATATTTCATTTTATCTCCCATTCTTTTTTGCTCAATGCTAATACTCTACTACTTTGAGCCACAGCTCCACTTCCAGTTTTCTGGTGGTTAGTTGGATATAAGAGACTCACATCCCCCACAGTATAACCCCTGCTTTCACTGTATTTGATGTCGGTATAATTTGTGGAGGGGAAGGGGAAAAACAAATCGTTTAAATAGGGATACAG